CTCAGATTCAGTGTAGTCTTTTCCGCTCTTCCCTCAGCCCTGCGATACCCGGTGGTTAAGGGAGGTGCCCTCAGGATCTTGGCAAGTGGCTCCCTGGTATGGAGAGGAGAGCGGGATGGAAGGAGGTGGTGGTGTGGCAAGATGTGAGCTTGGCCCATGCAGCTGAAAGAGGCCCTGTCTGGGAGGAGGGAGGTCATACTCACTCTTCATTGACAAAGATGAGTTCCAGGGAAGGTTGGCTGTTGTTTACATCGAGATCTACGGTAGCAAAGGAAAGCAGGAAATGAGATGTGGAGTCTGGACCTGACCCTGAAGGGCAGGGGCTCTGGGCTGGGGCTGGATAAGGAAACAAAGGCATCAGGGCTCCTGCTGGGCCTGGTGCCTGACGACTCCCCTTCCCTCCGCTCGGAAGGCATAGTGGGACTCAGCGACACAGACAGGCCTGGGGTCTTGTCGTAATCCTTGAGCGTTTGGGGGAAAGGAGCAGCGGTGGCTGCTTTAAGTAGGGCAGGAAGGAAGAGCTGGGAATGGGGGACACAGGGAAGCTTCAGGTTACAGGGCTGGTACGGGGTAAGGGGCCAGGAAGGGGAAGAGGCGAGACGAGAGGCGGGACGCAGGTGAGGGTCAGTGGGGGCAGGCGCAGAGCTGGGCAGTGTCACTCGGGCGGAGGAGCAAAGGGGAGATGAACTCTAGCAAACTGTACTGATGGGCTCGGCCTCTTCGGCGCTGGAGGTGCCGGCCGCGAGCTGCTCCTCCTCGGCCCTGACCAGCTCCTGCAGCACGGCCTCCACGATGGGCATGACCATGGCGGTGGTGGACGTGTTGGAGAGCCACATGGACAGCAGCGTGGTGCAGCACATGAAGCAGAGCAGCAGCCTGGAAGGCAGGGAGGCGCAGGGGGAGCATCACAGCATGCCCACCTCCCCGGGTGCAACTTGCGACCTCGCAGGGCTCCCTCGGGGCCTCCTGCAAGCCTGCTGGTGCTGGCATTTATCCAGAAAATGGGGGTTTTATGTCATACATTTAGCTTTGTACTCCCAGGGCTTGGTACAGAGTAAACATTAAATAAAGATGTGTTGAATGGATGCATCACATTTCGTGGGCTAGTGGCCTTAGGCAAAAAAAAAAAAAAAGAAAAAGAAAAAGAAAAGCCCTTGCTTAAGCAAAGAATAGCTTTGGTGGTAGGGTCACAGGGCATGGACTTCCTGATTGCTCTTGTCCGTGGACATTAGCTTGGTGATGATGTGTGTTTTTTGTGTATAAAGGAGTTCTTTTCTCGGCCCTTGCAGCCAGCAGTCCTACGAGTACCATCCCATTCCTTGCTTTGCAGCCAAGTCACCGCAGTTATTAGCGACCAAATAGAGACTAACGGACAGAGCTTACGGTTCCGCCCACTACTTGCCCACTACCAACCGTTGAAAGCATAGCCCCCAACGGCTCAGCAGTGTCCCATTGCACTGTGTGCACTTTTTCAAGGCTGTGTCTATGAGTTGACACTTGGAGGAAAACACAAAGATAACTCTCGAGTTCTCCTTGACTTTGAAAACATGCACTGTGTGTTTGTACAGATATAGTTGTTATTTCCGTAAGAGAAGCCAGCATAAAGACTACCCGTGTTGATCACCTTAGGTGGGATCATTGACTTTTCACAGTTTGGGGCCAGCACAGCTGTCCTGTGGATCATGACCGGGTAGGTGCCAGAGCCCTGATGGTGTCTCTGTTTAGGCTGATGGAGACATGAGTTTGTCTGCCCTGGACATGCACCGGCAAACAGAGGGCCCCGTGGTGGGTGGAAACTTGCTGGAGGGTGCGGTAAATAGAGACGAGTAGAAACGCAATGGGATAAAAATTCTTGACGATAGTACCCGGGGGTTTCAAAGAGCCACAGAGCCTCAACATGATGTGGGGAAATGCCATTGTGTGTCTAGGGGGTCGAGTGTGGAGTACAACATCTCAGGTTATTACTGAGTGATTATGCCCTGAGTTAGGCTGTGGTTAATTAAGTGGGAGACAGGAACATCTTTTTAAGTATAACATGTCTTCATCTAATGACTAGGGATGAAAACTAACACCATATTATTTATTTATGCTCTGTTGGACGCCCAGGAGAGTCAGGGCAGCTTACATAAAAAGTGTTGCAAGAAAGTTGTAAACTAGGAGGTGAGGACGATATTCCAAAGGGAAGATAAGGGCAGTGTTATCCAACAGAGCGGGAATGAGTTCACGCAAAACCATCAATCCTGACCTTCCTACACATTCCTGAGCGGCCTTCTTGACAGCAGAGAGAAAAGAGGAAGCAGCTGAGGGCCTGAGTGCCTTGCAGATGCTGGGTCAGTTGCCACATTTGACAGGCCTCTGGTCTAAACCAATGGCGACAAGAACTCAGGGTGGATGGGAGGAAACCTCCATGCCTCCTTAAATGACAGAGGAGAAGACACCACTTCCTCATCCAGCCTGTTCCCTGATACAAGGGAAAAAGGTTGGGAAACAATTTATGTTGGTCCCTCTTGTTTTACCAGATGAGCCCCTTAGATCCTGTAACCTGCTGCCCCGGCAGTCTAGGTTACTCAGGTTATTAGAGGACACCAAAGTCTCCCACTCAAGTCTCCATTCCATGGTCACAGGCCTTCTCACTGGAGGGGGAGATGGGAGCCTTGAGGCCCTGGTGTCCTCCCATCCCCACTGGTAGAGAGCCTCAAGTGGACGTCCCTCTGACCGTCCAGGGGGCCCACTGGGAGCTGAGGGGATGCACTAAGTGTGACTTACATGCCCGGCTTGGCTCCGGCCATCAGGACCATGCGCAGAGCGATGCGCTTGTGCAGGTTCCACTTCTCCACAGCCGCCGCCACGCAGATGACACCCACCAGCAGCAGCGTGGTGTTCTTGAAGTACTCGGCCGCCACCTGCAGAGGCCAGCTCGGGTCACCCCTACCCGACCCAGGGCCTGGCCCCCGCCCGACTAAACTCAAGCTCAACCAGAGGCTAGCAAGCAAAAAGCAGGGAGATGAGGGTTATTAAAATAGCCAGTTGTTGCATATTACATATATATATAATTTTAAATTTAAAAAATTTTATGTACACGTACATACACACATACGACCTTGGGCAGGTACTGTGCTAAGCACTTTACAAAGATTTCATTTAATCCTGCCAGCAACTCTGGGGGGTAGATAGTCTTCTCCATTCTAATTGTGATATGAATACGATTTCAAAGAATAAACGCATTTACAATTCTACCTTAATTCTTAAAAATTATGAAAATAAGCCTGGGTTTGTCAACTAATCTCATTTTCTTTGGCTTTTTAGAAAATTATGTTCATTTTTTTATTGGAAAGTTAATACATGTTCATTATGGAAAACTTTAAAATATAGAAAAATTAAAGATAAAATTACCCTTAATCCTACTACTGTTAGTACTGTGGTATATTTTCTTCAATTTTTTAATGTCTATATAGATACATAATTGGATTTATACAGTATGTACTGGTTTATATCCTGCTTCTTTTTTTCATTTGACATTGTACCCTGATCATTTTCTTATGAGACTTAAATTTATTGAAAAAATTCATGCTAATGACAGCATGAAGCACCATAGAATTTACTTAGCCGTTTTCCTTTTGTTGAATATTTAAGTTGATTTCTTTTTTTCTTTCTTTGCTGCAAATGGAGCAAAGAATAATTTTCAGCTTAAATCGTTAACCTTATATAAATGTGATTATTGCCTTAGGACAGAGTTCTTGAAGGTGTCTTTATAACCTGCCTTAAACCTTTAAAAAAAACTTTATATTTGAATAACTCTTTAACTCCAAATAATTCCAGAGTTCCAAAGGGTTCCAAAATGATAATAGTGCAAGAAATAGCCATCCACTGTGTGTATGGGTTTTTGTTTTTTTTTCCTGAACCGCTTGAGGGTAAGTCATATACATTTTGGTCCTTTATCCCTAAATACTTCAGTGTTTATTTCCTAAGATTAGGCGTTTTCTCTCACACAACCATAGCACCAGTTACCAGCTGCTTCTTCTTGCTTTTTAATGACGAGGTAATTGAGACCTAGTCCTGCTCAAACATGTTTCCTATGTTTGGGCTCCAGGACCAACTCTTCGTTGATTCCCTCTCTTGGAACATTCTCTCCTTATCTCCACTTTGATGAGACTTCAAAGCCCAGTTCAGGCCTGGTGGCGTCCAGAAAACCTTCCTTGTGACTCTAACCTCTGACTCCAGAACATTCCTCGTGGGTACTATTAACTCTACACATCACAGAGCACATAGGGCAGTGCTAGAACTGTTGCTTCATGCTTGTACTGTTTATTTTTTTATGTGTATCTCTCTTGTTTCTGTATCTCTTAGCACCTAATAGGATAATACGGAAAAGTCGATGCTCAATAAATACTTGTCACATACAAGAGAGTTGTTCCCAACAATGCAACCATGATATAAATTGGGAGGAAAAGATACAGAAAAGTTTAACTCCTAACTTAGAAATCCTCTTAAAGTGAGAAAACAAGAACATTTTTAACTGCAAGAAAAATAAAAACTGAACAGGGAAGGAAATACAAATATAGTAAAATCTGCAGTGTTGGAAGTAGACAGAACTTATATTATCATACTGTTAAACTTTGATTATTGAATTATATGCCTGTACTGGGAAGGTAGAGGGAGGAGAATTGGGTGATGTAAGAGTACAAAATCCTCACCTGCTATAATCAGAAGTCAACTGATAATGTCTAAAAGTGATAACTCAAGAATTAATATAAGAATATCATATAGGACCTTGGAGCTTAATACCAGAAGAAGCAGTTGACAAAGTTAAGTTATTGACTCGGGGTCAGGGGAGGTGGGATTTGGTGGAGGGAGGGGTGGGGAAGGAGTCTGCTGTTTTTTTCATTGTGACCTTTTCAGTATTATTTGAGTTTTAAACTCTGCACGGAACACTTTGGTAAGATAAGAGCCCCCAAAAAGGTAACCTGCTCCATTTCTCCCTTCTCACTTTTTCCCCACAGAGATTTCCTTGTGTCTGGTTGATGAGTTCTGTGCAACAGAAGGATCATCTCTCCTCTCTGAGACCATTTCCTGGGGTAAGAGGCCTCTGCTTCTGGTTAATCTAGTCCTCGTCCTCGACCCCAGTCCTCATGGACACTGTCACTAATGCTCCCGGAGGGCAGAGAAGCTGTGCTGGGCTTGTGACTCTGGCGCAGAGTCTGCACTGGGAGGGACAGGAAGGCCTCGGGCCCTGACGGTGGGTGGAGGTGCTGCCCCCTAGTGGGAGGTGGTAGCACTGCTGGGATGGGAGGGCTGGCTGAACTGGGGGCCTAGGACCTTCCTCACTGCCCACTCATGTTCCTAGGCAGCGGAGAGGCAGCTTTGTGGTGGAATTGGTGTTTTAATTTCATCTGTCTACCAAGGAGAGGAACCCACAGAAGACTTGAGACACCATTGTCCTCCTGGGTGATGGTCCCCCACTGGCCCCATGACTCATGGCTCTCTGGGAAGCTTTTAAAGACTCAGTGTTACCAGGGTTACTTTCCCAGGGGACTGACTGACAACATTTTAGTTTTTTGCCTCTTTGGCACATGTCCTAATAGACCCCAGTTGGTGATGGCCTTTTAGGGGGATCAGAGCCTGTACAAGAGGTGGGGCTACTTTCTCGGGGTTCCTCTCAAGGGCGAGGAGAAAGGAACCAACATGTGGTAGAGTGCCTTTTACATGCCAGAAATGTATTTTGCATTCACTTTCTCACTTAAGGTGAGGAAACAGACTCAGAGACGTTAAGGAACTTTTCCAGGGTCACAGTGTGAGGTGTGGAGTTGGGATATCAATCCAGGTCCATCTGAATCTAAAGCTACTATTCGACATGCCACTCAGGGTGGCCAAGTAGAAACCACTCATCTAATTCAACTCCAGGGGAAATTCTGGGTACCCCAGACAGCACGGGCCAGCCCACATTCCTCACCTTTATTCATAATCACAGTCCTGACACTGGCCCCAAATACCTGGGCCCGGTCCAGTGAAAGCCCCAGGCCCAGGTTTGGTAGGATATTGGCCCTGTGATGTTTTCTTATTTGGTGTTTGGTGTGCTCAGGTCTGTTCATGTGTCCTTCCTGCCCCCTTGTAAGCGATGCCAAGTGTTAGGTGATGTAGCCTGGGTTTGTGACTCGGCTGTATGCTGGGCAAGTTATTCAACCTCTCTGGGCTTCATTTCTCTCATCTAAAAAAATATATGAGGATTATATGAGTCCCAATCTTCTGTAAAGCTGTTGTGAAGATTAAATGACACATGCAAACCAGCTAGCGTGGCCCGCCACGTTGACAGCCAGGGCTCCTGGTGGCTCTTCTGTTACTATGTGGTCCACACAGAGGCTGACCTGGTCTGAGGCCGTTAGCATACAGAGAGGGCCCAGGCACAATCAATAAAATCTTGTCCAATGGTGTTGTTGGTTAGTTTTCTAGCCCACTGATTTTTTTTTTCTTTACAATAAAACCTTGGTTATTTACAACCCCTCTGGGAGTTCCAGGATTCTTGAGGATTATTTTAATCGTTTTCTAAAATGTGTTGCGTCCTCACACTTGCCGTGAGCATTCCTTTCCCCACTATTTAATTTCCAAGACTAATATTCTGTGAGTTGGGAAACTAGATAATGAAAATTGTTAGAACTATTTGCAAAGAGAAATTAGATTCTAAAACAAGTGCTCCTCCCATGGCTAGACTGCACGGATTTTGTGACATTTGTGTTGGCAGTGTTATCGCCTTTACTGCATTTCTGCTCTGTGGTTTTTCTCAGTGTGCCCAAACCCCAAGTTTGGAGAGCAGAGATGTTTCTGGACTGTGTTTAAGAAGAGATGGGCTCAAGGAGGCCGCTCTGAAAAGGTGGAGCAGAGGATAGCAAGTAAGAACTCAACCTGGGTTCAAATGCTTGCTCCCCACAGATGAGTTGTATGTTCTTGGACCAAATACTGAACCCCTGTTCCCCCATCATTTCAACCTTTTAAGTAGTAATACACAACACATTGAATCCGTATGGGCCTTAAGTAAGATGATGCAAGACAGGCCTGGCACATAGGAAGTGCTCAGTAATGGTCCATTATTATTGTTAAAGAAGTGAAAAGATGAAACGCTTCAAGATGAGATTGAGGGTTAGGAATCAGGTATGCCAGCATGACCACGTGGGGGAATAAGAGAAAGAAATGAAGTAAGAAGGAGCAAGGTGGACCTAAAAGACAAAGTTTCCCCCAAACTTTCTTAAGTGAAGGGTGAGTACATCTCAAGAGTTTTCTAACCCAGCCTGGATTGAGAGGCACAAGGACAGAAGTGTTGACCAATGTAGTCTTTTAACGAACTAGTTCATTGTTAGTAAATTGCAGGTGACATCTGTTAGTGATGAGCTTTTAAAAACATCACTCTCTTTGGTCACGGAATTATTTGTTGCTCTCTGGATATGTCAGGTTTTAATTTTTTTACAAAGTTTTTTTTTTTTTTTAATGGGAAGGTGAGGGGAGTTGTGGCTTTAATCCTAGAAGTTTGAGGAGAACGGAAATCTGGATGCTGATCTCAGTTCAGTGCTTTTCTCACTAAGAACAGGGCCATCGTCAGGGAGGAAGACAGATGGACCAATGAATCATTCGTGCAGATAAGCTGGGTGCTGTGATCTGTCACTCAGGTAGGTCTAACATCCTCACAACTCCCCACGAGGTGGGTATGCCTATTATTCTCATTTTCCAGATGAGTAAAATGGAAGTTTAGAGAGGTTACACATGTAAAGAAAAGAATGTTGCCCGCCATTCCAGTTCTATAAGGATCAAGCCATTAGCCACTGCAGTCATGCACCCTGAGGGGAATTCAGGATGGAGAAAAACAGGAAGCATTCTGTACTTTGGGTACTGGCCCTAAATAGTTAAGATGCATATCTAAGGGATCATTTCAATGACCCCAGATTCTTACTTCTTCCCATAGATAGAAAAGCACTAAAATCATTAACTTGAGATGTCTGTTGTGATTAGCAGTAGTCTTTTGATGTCTGACTACATGTTTTTCCAGAAAAAAAAAATTCATATATTTCCTGGCTCCTACCTTACCTCTTAGGAGCAGTACCTCAGTTACCTAAGAGGGTGTCTCCCAGGCCATAGTCCTCAGTAAGTTCCCCAAATAAAACTCAACTTGCAACTTTTATTTCAGTCAACGCACAACTTGCTCAAGACTGGTCAGTAAGAAAACTGGATTCAAACTCAGTTCGACCCTACTCCCAACTTGGATCCTGACCCTCTCCACATTGCCAGTGTCCTTGCTTATAGTGGTGGCAGCCAGAGACTGGCAGAATGCGTGGATCTGAACGTGTCCTGACGTAGGCATTGGTGGCGTTGTATGGGCCCCGTCAGAAATGCAGCCAATCAGCACGCTGCTGCTGGCTGGACACACCTAGGCTCTCCTTGCAAGTTGCTGTGGCTGTGCCTCTTCACGCGGCAGGAATGTGGCATTCCCTCAGGAGACCAGTGGTGGTCTCTGGAAACGGACCTATTTTGAGGCTCTTTTGGTTCATCTGAACAATTTTGCTGCGACCCCAGGATGGGATGCCTGGGCTGAGCTAAACCCCCATCAGAGCTGAAGCCCCTCACTACACCATTCCAACCGCCACCCTGGCAATGCAGCCAAGTCCGGCGTGGCTGCCTCTCCGCCTTTCCCTGGGGGCAGGAATGCTGTTTCTGCTGGTAAGTCTCTGGGGGCTCAGACACCCTCCTAACCACCTGTCTGTATTCCCTGAGGACAGAGGTTTTCAAACCACTCACTGCCTCTGAAACTTCAGCGGCAGCTGTGGGAACAGGGTGGCCGTGAAGCATTGGGAGGGAAGGGCCCGGGCAGCCAGGGCTCTGGGCCCCCGTGCCTAATCAAAGTAGGACTTCCCCTTCCATCTGCTTCATGTATTGATTTTCCTAAGATCTAGTTTAAAGGAAAGGTTTTGTTGCTTAAAAAACATTCTTTGTAAACCCTACCCTAGAGATGTCTAAAGCAGAGAGACCCAGATGGGTGCTGACCTGACCCGAAGTCAGCCCAGCTCCTGCAGAGCTTGGAAATGCTGACTCATAAGGTGTCCCCAGTTTCTTCAAGACTGAATGATCTGCCCCTGTAGCTCTTCCTATGGAAACATCAGCTTGGCCTCAAAAGGCTGCAAGATCTGTGGGTTCCTGGTATCGGGCCCACGTATGGCCTGGGTGTGCGCTTAGCTCTGGGCTGTGTCTGGATGGCTGTGGGTGAGGGTGGGTAGCTGGGCACAGATGATCAGCCTGTACTCAGGCTGGGGGCGTGGAGGTAGGGGTGTCAGCGTCCATAGTGAGTAGAGGCCAGAAAGGCAGAGTGGAAGGTGATATACGAAATGCCCCCAGGTTTACACACAGCAAGTCAGGGTCTAGGCACTGGTCAGGAATCCAGTGGGTCAGAAAGATCAAGAGCAAACAGGGCAGCAGATTTCATGACATCAGACTCAAGTATCACTTGGCTGTAGAGGCTGTTTTGTTTCTCCAGCTGGAGCTGCCTTGCTGCCTCTCTTGCCTTGGCAGGAGCTAGAATCTGAATTAGACTTGCTAGAAGCCTGCAGTGCAGGGCCACTGAGACAGCAGAAGGAGCGTGTCTGTGTGCGCGTGCGCGCGTGGGTGCATGTGTTGGGGGGTAGATAGAGAGCAGGTGTAATCTCTACCAGAAGTAGTTCCTGACCCTGGGCATCTCTGAGGCTCCTTACAAATCCCAGTGTTCAAACCATGCTCTTTAGTTCCCCAGAGAGCCGCTTGGTCCCCACATCTCTGCCATTCTCCTATAAACAGTGAATCTCAGCTCACTTGATTGACACAGGTACTGTCCCCAGCTACGGCAACACAGTAGAAAGGCTTAGAGGACTTTCAAGGCCTATATGATGACAGTAACGAGAGTCACAATGGAGGCAAAACAAAGAAACAGACCTAAAAACAAATCGGAAATACAGGACTGAGCTCTGTACACCAGCAGAGGGGAGCAGAAGCTGGATGCTTACAAGCCGATAGATTCCTAAAGTCAAGGGGCCCTTAGAGCCCACCCCCTCTCCCGAGGCACAGAGTCTACCCCTAGTATCCTTGACGTGGTCATCTGGCTTGTGCTTCTGGGGACAGGAACACCAGGACCACGTGTGGCCCCCATTTCAGTGTCTTCCCTCCCAGAGAGGGGATCTACTTTATGGTGCTTTGACTCTGGTTCTGGTTTGACCCTTTGAGCCTGGTATGTTGAGCTGTACAAGCCAGAAATCATGCCCGTCTTGAGGCTTTGCTTCATTCCTCATGTGACTTAGCTTCTAGATTTCAGACACCTTGGCTACCTACCTCTGAATGACCTCCTTATCCAGAATTTCCTGCTCTGAACACATACATTTATTAATTGAGCAGATTTCAGTACATCCTGGCTAGCAGTTAAGGGTGAAAGTTCTGGGGTCAGGCAATTCGAGCTTCAAGTCCTGGCTCTACTACTTACGAGCTGTATCACCTTGAGTAAGTTACTTAACCTCTCTGAACTTCAGTTTCCTCCTCTGTAAAACAAAGATAAAAATAATAGCCACTTCACAGAGGATTAAAAGATACAGTGCATGTAAAGGACCTCCCACTGCGCCTGACATGTGGTAAAGGCTTGGCATTTTGGCGGCCACCCTGGACAGAGAGCTGACTCCCACTGCGTCTATACTCAGCTGAAAGCCAAAGATCTTTTTCACACACACTGCTAACATTTATCCTTATTAAGCTTCATTTTGCCTGGACTTCCCTTCCAGTCCATTGTCTCTTCCTGGCAGCACTGATTCTGTCACTGTACATTAGCTAGTCCATCTAGCTTCGAGTCATCTGCAATTCGATAACATGCCTTTCTTATTTCCATTTGTGCTCTCTCTCCAGCGCGATGCCAACATGTTACTCAGATTCTTTCGGTTTAGCTATTCAACCAGCACTCAAGTTACTCAACTGTGCTGTCATCCAGCCCACATTTCTCTGACTGAGAAATTGTTATCCCTGGAAATATCGAAGGCTCCAAAGAAAAAGTTAATTTATGTTCAGCAACATTTGTTTAAAAGACCAGGGAAATTATAAAGCTTTGTGGAAAGACCTCAGTCAAAAAGTGGTCAATATAAAGTTTGGGCACTCGACAGGGTAAATTTCATTTATATAGAACATTCCCTCATGTGAAATTGTGTAAATTGGGGTCTGCAAGGCCAGAAAAAAAGGCATTACTGCATAGGGTCTTCTGTGTTATTCCATGTGGTTTATACTTTCTCTCTGCTAGAGTAGAAACTTCTCAAGGTCAGGAGCCATTTTGACTATTTTCTATCTCTTTTCAGCATCTGAGTTAGGCTGATAGAAGACAGTCTAAGCTTTGCACACAGTGAACTCTTAATACCTGCAGACTGACAATTCATCACTGTACAATTTAACCATTTATATGCACACATCCAGCCCTAGGGGGAACCCAAAGCATTAGCTATGAGATTCAAGAGTGCAGAAATGATATATTAAAAAAATTTTTTGTTTCTTTTTTTGGCTGCACCACACAGCATGTAGAATCTTAGTTCCCAGACCAGGAATTGAACCCGTGCCCCCTGCATTCGGAGCAGAGTCTTAACCACTGGACCACCAGGGAAGTCCCAGAAATTATATTTTTTTTCATTTTTGTCACCTGCAAGGTATCTGTAACATCCCATATTGTATTGCACATGGTAGGTACAGCACTCAAAATATTTTTCTGAATGTTGACTGAATAACCTGAGGGACAAAAGCCACAGGTTCAGGGTCACACTGATCCTATTCACGTGCCTTCCTTCATATGGAGAGTACACTACTGACACACCATCAAGAAACATTGCAATCAAGAAACGTGAACTAAGGGCTAGTGCAAGAATGGCCCGTAAGCATAAGACATCGTAAATCCTAGAGGGCGTGAAATCTGGGTGGAGAGAGGACGTGTCCACAGCAAGTTTATATCTGATGTATCTCACATACCGTTTAAAGGACAGAGGTATCAGGGGGCTCCAAGGGAAGTGAACAACTCTTTTAGCTGAGGTTTTTGGAAAGGCTTCAACCAACAGGGTAATTGGGTAGGATCTTACAAGCTGAAGGAATTGGAGAGAACTTTCCAAAGTGGAAGAGTGGCCTGAGTCCCGGCAAGGGGCTGGGCAAGCACAAGGTGGGTTTGGGGAGTGATGAGTGGATGATTTGTCTGGAGTAGGGGGCGCCTGCAGACCCCCAGCCTAGCTTTTCCCAGGGAGCCATGGCACATGCTGGTGTAGGGGAGAAGCCGGTGGCTGTGGAACAGATATTTTCTCTGTCTGCAAAGTCAGCTGGCTCACAAAGGGCTATAACCCATGTCCTCTACCTGATCGGCATGTCCTTTAATCTGAGTTTAAAAGGCTAGCTAAACAGGTTATGTTTGGCCTAAACTGCTCTCTGGAGCTCAGCTGTTAAATATCACCAGCCAAAGCCACTTTGTCAGACAGATGGGGTGGGGTTTTCACCTCAAATGATAAAATTGGCCCTTGGCTTCTCCAGTGTTTTCCACCTCCAGCCCCAGCAATAGCAACACCCAATCTCTCCCTGGAAAGTCTTCTTTTTCTCCTTACAAAGTCCTGTTGCCTTTGAAAACAACTGCCTCCCTAGACTCCTTATAGGTTGAGCCTTCCTGGCTGTGCAGATGGGCAGGCCCTAGGATGAACTGTTGCCTAGCAACATCCCTAGTGTGTGGAGGGGCTGATTGGCCCACCTGTCTATAAGATTCCCCTGCAGGAGGCCCTTGGGGAAATAGAGACATCATCTACTTTAAGACTAAGGCATACTGTTGGCTTTTGGGCTGCCTGTAGTGAAATACAAAGATATTAGTCTTTTAATGAATAGCTAGCTCACTTTAAAAATGTTACTTAAGTTTCAATTCTTTCTATAACTTCACTTCTTCCTCTGCTCTCTACTTTCACCTCCCGACTCATTGGCTTTCGCTTTCACAATTTTAAAGAGAAATCTGCAAGACAAGTTCATTTATGTTTCTCTTAAGAAAAGTAATATTACACTACCAAACGTAAAATAGATAGCTAGTGGGAAGCAGCCACATAGCACAGGGCGATCAGCTCGGTGCTTTGTGACCACCTAGAGGGGTGGGATAGGGAGAGTGGGAGGGAGGGAGACGCAAGAGGGAAGAGATACGGGAACATATTTATATGTATAACTGATTCACTTTGTTATAAAGCAGAAACTAACACACCATTATAAAGCAATTATACCCCAATAAAGATGTTAAAAAACAAAAAAAGAAAAGTAATATTGGTGCTTGTTCTTTTAGGCATGCACACAGACCCAGACAGACTACCTGTTCTCTTTCCACAAAGGAAGGGGGATAATTGGAGTGATTGCCTAGTGCTTCAGGTCCCAGGCTAGCTTTTATGTGGGTCCCCAGGATATTGGTGTTGGACCCATCTCCAGGAATCAAAGCACTGCTGAGGGTTTTGGGGATGCTATCCTTTTTGGAGAGTCTGAGGCTATTATGATTACTAAATGCCAACAAAGGAACTAATGTACCAACAGCCTCCAAACCAAACTGCCCCAGACCAAAGCAAACAAACAAAAACCAGCCATTTGAGTCCATGTAGTAGAAGGACAACTTGTTAACTTGTAGTCAAGTACAGCAATTAGGGGATGGCCTAATTTTTATCTCTGGACTT